ACCCTGGTTGCCGTGAGGGCAGATCATCGCCCTCGCCCTCCAGAATAGACGAAAAAGGCGCTGTTCGACTCGCTGTGAAGACACAGGTCCTCATTTGCCTCCCCTCCACATCTGCACGAAGGCACGAAGTTTGATGACTGGGAGACTGACAAGGAAGTCAGTATGTTCATCAAAGAGCCCAGTGCGACTGTCAGGTCTGCGCCTCAACAAGAAGGCAAAGCGCAGTGCGCAAGGGTGATCGATCCGCTAACCAAATTTGCTCAAAATGATCCCTGCCATACTTTCACCAGAAACTGCGTGGCATCTCCTGGCACTTCTCTAGCTCTTTGTACTCTCCAGATCTTCATCCTGGGGCGTGGGGCGGGGCCAAGATCATAGCCTTGTTCGCAACTTGTTGGTAAGAGTGAAGACTTTCTTCATGTCCTGCCTCTCTTGCTTGGCCTGCGCAGCCTTCTGCTTCTTCTCCTTCAGCTTCACCCTCCTTCGCGTTGGATCGTGCCTGAATCTGAAGCCCCAAAGTGGCAGAATGGATACTCACTATGAGACATGAGCGTGTGGACCACTCCCAGTTATTAGAGAGTGGACCGCTGCTCCCTGGTTCCCTATATTGCACACTTTCAACTTCCAAGTGCCCCAGGGTGGGCGCTCGAAACGTGGATGAGTGGAACGCGCGCGAAGGTGTCGGAAAAAAAACCGGCATCTTTGAGATGCTGCAGGCAGCTGGTTGCGATTTTTATCTATTTCTTGAACCTTGCGCCAAGCTTCAAGCACTCTGTATGCAAATGCTTGCTCGTTGCAATTCATATTCAGCGTTCTTGAACAATGGCTGAGTTGACATGCCCAATACCTCGTCTTGGAAACTCTCGAGGTCAATGTGCTCGTTGAGAGCGTTCCGCTCGGGAGTCAGAGGCAGGGCCGGAGCTGGAGGCAGGCAGGACACTGCCGACTGCAGCAAGAGGCCAGGTCACTGCTCCATACCACTTCAAGCGATCGAACGCAACTTAGCAACGTGTGTGCAAGGGGAGGTCAACTGTGTGGAGACATCCCGAGGTACACGTGGCTTTGGGTACTCCGCCCAAGAGGAGCTCTACCCTTGGGCTGAACCGGATGATCCCAGATACCAGAGGAACACGAAATCTGGTGGAGAGGATCTCTGTGAGAGCGATGAGAATGAGGCCAATGTCGGAAGGAGCACCAACGGTGACGACTGCGCAGACATTGGGGATGGAGATAGCCAACGCCCAGGAAGAACTACCTCCTGCCCGACCTGAACCAGCTGGACTCCGCCAAGTACCCGACAGGCAACCGGCACAGTGGCAACCAACACCCACTAGCAGGATTCCAGCAGCCACAAGGTGCCAGGCAACCAACAGCATCAACTCCCAGGTCAAGGGCGTGGAGGATTCCAACAGCCACTGCCCCAACAGCAGCCACAGGGTGGCCCACAACTAGGCAGCAATCACCAGGCGGGCCACAGCTGGGTGAATGGGGGTGCAGGTGGCAAGGGCACTCATGTCATCTACAACGAGCACGGCGCGACGCCTGATGGTGGGGAGAAGCTGGGATCGAAGCCGGGTACTACGCCTGGTGAGGAGACTGAGGCTGAAGGGGCGAACTGTCGAGGAAGTGGAGCAGGGCATCAACAGCTGCTCAAGTCTACACCTTGGAGCGCCACCGTCGACGGAGGGACCGATCAGGCTGGTGACGCGCGTCGGCTATGGCATCACCTTGGGGCGGTGGGAGCTGAAGAATGGGACTTTCTCCAGGACACCGCCTTTTAGCCTGGCTTCCTGACGGAGAAACTGACAAGAAGCAGCCAAGGATGGATGGATGGATGGATGGATGGCTGACGCTCGAGGACCACCTCCATGGGAAGAAGGTGGCAGTTCGAGGGCGCATGCAGGAGAGGAAGAAGATGTATGACTTTGAAGGGCCGTGGCTGTGGGAAGAGGCTAGTGGTCCCCATGGCGAATGACCATTGCCTGGTCTACGATCTACAAGACAAAGCTGGTGATCGTGGATGAGCGCCAGGCAAAGATAAGAGCGTCCATTTGCCCTTTGCTTGGGTAGGATATACCTTGTTTAAGACAGGGTAGAAAGGGCTCGAGCGCCCTGAAAAGAAAGGTTTTTGAACTTTTCGACTGGCGCCGAAGTTTGCCACGCAAGGCAAAGGGGGAGTGCCGGCGCACAAAATCCAGAAGTGTACCAAGTTTAGAGTTGGTTGCCCAAATAAGAAGTGTACCAAGTTCCGACTTGAAGGGTCGTGTACAAAT